ACGTTACTTTTTTTTGTTCAGTTGGGAAACTGCCAGGAGAGTTCTGAAAAATAAGTCGGCATTGAAACAAAAATCCCTTACATTTGCTAGGGATACCTGAAAATTTCTCTGGGAGAGACGGACGGAATTCCGGAAGTGACGTGACAGGCTCTGGTTCCGGAAACGGAAGTTGAACGGGCTCCGCTCTAGGAGTTGATTGTCTGGAAAACTCCTGCAAAAACACATCAAATCGTGTGTTTAACTCACGAACGAATTTGTCCACAAGCAGGTCGTGAACATCACGAATGGCACTCTCAAATCTCCTAGCCAGTTCTTCGTGGCTCTCACGGAGGGAGGTTCCAAGGCTCTGAATCTGGGCTCGTTGGTCATTCAGAATCTTCCAGAGTGGTTCCGCTGGGTTAGTCGGTTGGCCGCAGTGTTCTGTCATGATGGGTTCACAAGAGAGACCCAAGTATGCAGAACCCACGAGAAGGAGACTGGTTGAAAGGTTAACAAAGGTTTATTGTTTCACAAGAACATGGAAATAACACTGGTACTGGTTCAGGCCTGGGGGGGGCTGGTTCACTGGAGTCTGCGTGGGAGACAGTTCAGTTAGCGTTGCATCAGAAGAGTTTGACTTTGAGAGTCTCAGGTTTGTACCTTGAGGGTTCTTGGTTAAAGCTTTGGGAGGAGAACTGTTGGGTCCAGAGATTGTTTGTTCAGCAGAGTCCGTTAGCTGCTTCAGCGTCTTACTTCTAGAGAGAGGGCAGACCTTGGTTTTAAGTTTCCAGCTCTTGGTCCAGAGCTGCATGGAAATCCAGAGAGGAGTCTTCAGGTTTGGCTCAGAGGGCAGACTCGGCAGGTTAAGCTCTTCCAGAGCTTCACAGGAGAAAAACAGGTTTCCAACTGGATTCAACACTGCGGCATTGAGGCAAGGTCTGAAGACAGCTTATATAGCATGGACCCTCTGATGAAGGAATGAGCCTCAGCTGTGCAGGAGGCTCGGCTCCGGAGGATCCACGGCGGACTCTGCTGGAGGAAGGTGGTACTACTCCAGCTCCCAACACAGACAGCAGCAAACCATTTGAAAACAAACGATGCAAAGAGCAGTGTGGCCAACTTAGCGCTTTAGTCGCTATATTTAGCCACTTTTCAGACCCCTCTAGCACTTTGATTTCTAAAAGGCGCCTAGCGCCAAATCTAGAGACTTTTTTCTGCTACTGGAGACTTTGGAGACAACATCTAAAAGCAGCGAACTCTGCTCTCCAGAGCAAGTAGATTGGTAACCCCGCCTCCTGCTCTCCTCTATCTTGTCTGCTGTCATGATTCATGCAGCTATTATTTCATCCAAATGAAAAATGGAGAACAGAGAAGCAGATCATGGCTTGTCTACAGTGAAAAGAAGGACTGGGTTATTTACTTTGGCCTTTTTGGAAACACAGGAAGGAGCAATAAGCTAAGTGAGCTTAGTGCTTGGAAAAAATCTTTCATTCCTTTAGAGACAGCATGAAAAGTCAGCTGAGTACAAAACATAGAGAGGAAAACAAGAAGAAAAGTAACCTAGAACAGATAGTGGATGTCTATTCTATTAACATTTCTCTAACTGGATAATAGGTCTGTTTTATGTGTCATCTTCTCCATTCAGAGGCCCCCTGCCTGTCTTTGTCTAGGGCCCCAAATTTCCTAAATCCGCCCCTGACTTGTTTTAATGCGTGGAATTTAAGCATTGCCTTGATAAAGTAATTTCAGTCAAACAGTAAAGAGTATTCACCAAAATAGGTATAAGAACAACTGAGCCATTTATTAATAACCCATCAAGAAAGAAATGAAAAGTGAAAAATTTGAAAATGGAAAACTTGTGAATGATAAATTTCCACTCAGCTGCAATCCCCAGCCACACTGTGCTTCACTCTTTATTGATCTTTCATAACCTTTAGTCACTGTAGACCATGGTATTTTAAAAAGCAGGCTACTTATCATTGGACTGTCAGAGCATACCTTTTCTTGGTTTTTAAGCTATTTAGAAATCAGGTCCCAGTGTATGAAATGTGATGGCCTTTGTTCTGAATGTACAACTGTTTACAGGGGTGTGCCACAAGGATCTCTTTCGGGGCCCCTCTTATTTATGCTGTACATCAACAACGTTGAACAAAATTTATCTGATACTAATATTCATTTTTATGGCGATGATAGAATTATTGTGGCCCGATAGACTGGTGACCTGTCTAAAAGAAGAAGGAAAGATTTGTCACGTCATTTGGCATAGTGATAATGAAAAAAATAAATTTACGAGAAAATGTGTAAATAAACAGCAGACGAGAGCTCTCGATACAAAGCATTCTGGGAAATATCTGCCTCTTCTGAGGCCTTTCTCTTCTTCTCATACGCTTCGTAGACACTTTTCCTCGTCTGACCTTCGACCATTTAAAAGGAACCACGGTGAAAAAGGTGAGCTTTAATGACCGTCTGAAACCGTAGCTCACCTCAGATATACGCCTGAAAGAAAAAGATAGCTAACGGGACGAGAACGTAGGACGGCCTTACGGAAACATCACCAGAATGATTGACAGTTAGGAGGACCACTGATTGAGATGATCTACCTGGAAATAAAAGATTATTCTCCATACCTTTAACCATGGCATTATATTTTATAGTTTACAGGGGATTAAGATTTTTTTACCAAATGACACCAGTTTGTATGAGTTTCGCCATCCATCCATCCATCCATCCATCCATCCATCCATCCATCCATCCATCCATCCATCCATCCATCCATCCATCCATCCATCCATCCATCCATCCAACTCATTTCAGAAAACGAATTTCAGCCGCTTGTATCTGGGACCTCATTCTTTCGGTCATGACCCAAAGCTCATGACCATAGATGAGGGTAGGAAGGTAGATCAACCGGTAAATCGAGAGCTTTGCTTTTCGGCTTAGCTCTCTTTACCACAACAGACCGGTACAGTGCACGCTTCACAGCAGATACCGCACCAATCTGCCTATCGATCTCTCGTTCCATCTTCCCCTCATTCGTGAACAAGACCCCAATATACTTAAACTCCTCCACTAGGGGCAGTACATCTTCACTAACCTGGAGAAGGCACTCTACCCTTTTCCGGCTAAAGAACATGGTCTCTGATTTGGAGGCACTGATCCTCATCCATGTCGCTTAACACTCGGCTGCGAAGCGCTCCAGTGAGAGCTGTAGATCATGCCCTGAGGAGTCCAACCCTCACTGGAAACGAGTCCGACTTACTGCCGGCAATGCGGACAAGGCTCTGACACCAGTCATACAGAGACCTGACAGCCCCTATTGAAGGACCCGGTACTCCATACTCCCGGAGTACCCCCTACAGGACCCCCCGAGGGACACGGTCGAATGCCTTCTCCAGATCTTAAAAACACATGTAGGCTGGTTGGGCAAACTCCCATGCACCCTCCAGAATCCTGCTGAGGGTATAGAGCTGATCAAGTGTTCCACGGCCAGGACGAAAACCACACTGCTCCTCCTGAATCCCAGATTCGACTATCCGACAGATCCTCCTTTCCAGAACCCCAGAATAGACCTTACCAGGGAGGCTTAAGAGTGTGATTCCTCTGTAGTTGGAACAAACCCTCCGGTCCACTTTTTACTCTACCAGATCCGACCGGCGAATTCCCCCACCATCGGAGCCAACTCACCACCAGATAGTGATCAGTGGAGAGCTCTGTTATGTATGAATTTTTTTGACAGAAAAAAACCTAAACAACAATCATGTCTCCCTACCTTTCTGAGCTTCTCCCCCCTATGCTCCCACTCAGTGCCTCAGAGCAGCTGGCCTGCTGCTCCTGGAGGTACGGAAGCTCAGAGGAGACAGAACATTTTCAGTTGCTCAGCCAATCCTCTTCACTGTCTATTTTTAAAACATGCCTTGAAGCCTATTTTTATTCTTTGGCTTTTAGCACAGCATCAGACACTCTTTGGTTTGTTTTATATATTTTTTTCTAATATTGTTTCATTTGTTTTCATTAATTTATTTTATAACATAATTTTTTTATTCCTTTAACCCTTTATAGGGCAAGTTACCATTTGTGATCACTTGCATACCCCTTACAAATGGAGTCCCCCCGACCCTCAGTGAGGTCTAGAAGCACAAGATCTATATGCAGCCATTCAGCAAAGATCCTGCTACATGGCTGTATATCTGATTTTGGCATTTGACCAATAAGATGACCCCTTCAATGATATATTACCTACTGGTAATTAAGTTGAAAAAAAAGGTAACAAGACAATTAAATGGTATAAAGCTAACTGAAAAGTAAAAAAGTGAATAAAACTAGTTAACAATTCTGTTTAGGTTTAAAAGAAAAAAATGTAAGTGCCAGTATCAGCATTAATGCCTCTAAGGTTATGTGTTTCTTTCACTCTGAGTGTTTTTCCTGAATTTCTAATAGAAGCACTTTTGTTATTTTTCTTAACATATTCGGGCAAATTGGCATTTCTTGTTATCACATTGACATACATTTTTACCATCAAAATATCAATTTTTTTATGTTACAAAGGTCATAAGGTCTTCTCCTGGATTCCAAGAACACTGTTGGCTTGAAATGTGGATTTTCAAAGTACTTCACTGAGTTCCTGTAAAGAGTTAAAATTCTTTCTAGGATTTTGTGGCAGCTGTGTTTGTTTTCAAATAAAGTTTGTTGAGTAGAGTGGTAGTCATGACTCTGAGCAAATAACCACGCCTACACAATCCGGCATTATCTGATAGTCCTACTCGCTTACTAGGACATTTTAGCTGAAAGAGGTGCTCACAAAACATTTCCGTTTAAAAGGTTGGATTATAACCATTGATGCTGATCTTTTTTGACTGGTGTTAAATAAGAATTTGAATTTTAGAAATAAGAAGCTATTAGTCCATCTACTTTTCAAATATTTATGCCTGTTTTCTTACTCAAGCTTTAATTTGTTAACAAAAACAGTAGTGAATATCTACCATAACTAACTACCAGTGTGATATTTTTTGTGTTTTTACCAGGATCTAAAGAGAGTGCTGTCCTTCCCTCCATACCCCGGGGATTACCTACATCCTGTGGTGTACGCCTGCACCGCAGTCATGCTGCTCTGTTTGCTTGTTTCCATTATGACCTACATCGTGCACCACAGGTAAGAGGAGCCTTCACAAACCTATCTTAAACGTTAACGACTCCCTCCTCATCTAAAACACCCAAATAAAAAGGTTTCACAAATCCATGATGGGAGCATTTACATATGGAGTAAATTAAATTCCATTATTGTTGAAATTTGAACGTTTGAAAATTTGGAAGAAAAAAAAGGCCACTGAGAGACCTTGAAAAACTTTTCAGTTGTAACCCTGTACAGTCGTTGCACTGCTTATAAAAGCACTAGGAGTCAAAAGATAGGGTTATTTAGATCTAGATTCGCAGAAGAGGCTTGTTACCAAATCCCATAGCTATTATAGCTTCCACCCCAATAAAACACCACACAAGTTAAAGTTTAAATTTGTATTAGAACATTGATTATCGACTATATCTATTGCAAAAAGGACGCGAAAAAAAAAAAAATACAATGTACCTCTGAGATCTCAGGGAAAATTAAATTAACTTGGTTCAATGTCCAAAATTAAAACTACCCTTGAGTGCACTCAAAATTAAAGTTGTCCTACCACCCCTTAATATTCAGTGTCCAAACCAAGGATTCTCATAGGAGCCTCTGTGGTGCTGCTAAGTAGAGGAGGTGGACCAAGGAACCAGGCATCCGGGCGACCAAAAGTGCTGATGAGATGAAGAAACAACCGCCAGGGATCCAAATCCAAAAGGAACCTTTATAAAAAAAAACTGTCCACACAAAATGCACAGAAATTAAAGATTAATATTATTCACTAATGTCCTTGTTTAATTTTTACTAATGCCTTTTAGTCCATTCTTTTTAGCTTAAATATATAGTATACAGAAAATGCAGCAGAATACATTAACTTAGATGGGGAATATAGATTTGAAACCAACTTTCTCCAAAATCCAGTGTAAATGAAAAAAATAGTGCAATTGGCTTCTGGTAACATCACATTTGGAATAAACAGCATACATATATATTTTCTATGTATATATTTTTATAAATAGAAAAGAAAACACCAGCCAGTAATTTGTGGCTAATGGACATCTTTTAGAGAACAAAATTCAGTAAGTAAAACATTTTACACACCGTGAACAACTATCACAGCTAATTTTAAAAGTCATCCCGACTGGTTTATAGCAAATTAAGGCTTAGATATCATTTAACACCCTTTTACATCGTGTTTCAGTGACTACATCATGTGCTAAATACACAAAATGGTAGCTAACACTTACTGAGACAACTTAATTGAGATTCTTATTCAATTTCCAATGGAGTTCAACAACATTCACCAGCCTGGTGTATCTGCAAATAAGCTATGAATCATATTCTGAATCCTTTTTATGCTTAAATCACCTTTAATAGAAGATTTACCTCTCGTTTTTTGCTGTGTTCTAAGTGCCTGCTCTGTGTTTGACCAGGAAGTCAGGGAAGAAAACATTTTTATAACCTAGGCGTTTCTACGGAAGCGTATTGCATTCACCAAAGAAAAAAAATCTGACAGCTTCTGTCATAATTACAAGATCAGTATCTCATAGTTACGAGATAATATCTCGTTACGAGATAATATCTCGTAACTATGACAGGAGATATGATACGTTTTGTCCTGAGTGTAAAAAAGCTGGTTTAAAAACAGTTGTACTTACTGAAAAATGAAACATGTGTCTTTTTAACATTCACAGGCCCATTGCAATGCACACTAAATTACCCCATTTACACTGCCCTTTTGAAACCGTGCCGAGATTGGTCCGAGCACATTAACCGAGGTGAGTGTTGAGTGTAAATGGAACGCAAACTATGACCGTGCCAGAAACATCTAAACTGCACTAACATGGTACTAATTCATCAGTAGGACTCGGCGTTGTTCAATTCTGGCTCAGTTCTCAGATAACAAAGAGCACATGAGCAGACCGTGTCATCTCAGTCATTCATAAAAATCCTCGCTTCCCTACCATGCCACACGGTTTCCAGTGATGATTCTGCTTAGCAGTATGATGAACCTCAATGTCTGTCATTGTTTCCTGAATCTGGAAGCCCTGATTATCATTTATCGTTTGTCGTATCCGATTCCCAAAAACGGACTCTGTCAAGTACTGCAGGCTGCCCTCTTCGCCTGACTCTCCGCAAAAAAGGAAATATCACAATTATAACCAAACTTCTGGAATGTTACAGGTGCCGCCATGTTGGTTTGCTTGTTTACCTCTAGAGAGTAGCAGTACCATAGATCTCCTCTAGGAGGCGAGGAACTATGCTAGCATGGTGTGTAAACGGTTGTAAGGACCCAAGCTCGGCACGGTTAACTGATCCAAGCTCGATCTGAACTCGGCACGGATCGGTTCCAGAGGGGAGTGTAAGTGGGGCTCATGTGTGAGAAACACCCTGAAGCACAGAAACAACCTTGCTGGAAGTTATTTATGATTGGATCGCCTCAGATAATAGACTTGTGTCAAAATGTGTCTGTTTCATTTCTATGCCAAAGTTTGTTCCCTCTTACAGTAAATGTCAGCACAGATGTTAATTATGAGGCACCCCAGGGCTCCGCTCTAGGGCCAACAGATCTCCTGAGTGTGATTCCAGGGCACCAGACAGGTGTATAATGATTATCTACTGGTTGTCGAAATGGGAGGCAGAGTGCGTAGTTCTGTTATTTTCAGTCAGTGGTGCCATCAACTTTGCTCTTTTAGAGGTTATAACTTTATGAAGGTTAAAACGCATATCTAAACTAGCAGGAGTGCTTTGATACTATAATGCATCTTAAAGCTTCGGTGTCTTTAGACTTCTCTTTAGGCTTATTTGGATTCTCACCATCTAGGGGGTCCCAAAGCTAAAGAAAAGATGAGAGAGATTGGTCAGATCATATGTCAAAAAGAGACTTGGGTTCCTCAAATGCTTTAGCAACATCGCAGAGCTTCTGGTTTTCAACCTGGCAGAGGAGTCCAGGTGTTCCAATGTGAGGGTGGAAATTACTACCTGCAGCCACCGAATCCCGGGACCTGTATATGCTATGCAGATCCAGCCTTGGTGACTGGATGGAAATGGACCCCGAAAACAGCTGTTCAGCAAGCAAATATCCGAGCTCAGGCATAACGTTGATTTCAACAAGAGAGAAGAGGCCTTTGTTTTGAAGTGAACAAACTACAACGGCATAGGGAAGCTCTAAATGAGCACTGAGGGGTATTCATTGAGGAGTTGTGTCAGCATGACCGGTTTGTGAGATGTGCACAGGCTGTCTCTCTGTTCATTTCAGTTTATTTCTATTGTGCCAATTCACAACCCCTTTTCTTCTCAAGGCACAGAGAAAATACAGTCAGACTGTTTAAAAATGTTCTGTCAATGAAAACCTGTTGATTGCATCCTGTCATTGACTTTCAAGAGATGCTCCACCTGAATGAGCTCACAGCAACGAGTTTTGCTTGCATTTTGTCGCTGCACCTTTAGCAATCCCTCACACCAAGCATGCATGCAGCGCCAGTGGAGAGGAAAACTCCATAGGAAAGAAACTTCCAATAGAGTCTATGATGAACAATCTGACACTGACCATGGATCAGTAATGGAGTAAAGTTAATGAATGTGTTGTTATCGGGAAAGTTTTTTTTACGTTAAGGTTTAGGTTATTAAAGGTGATACTGCTTCCGGCATTGTCTACATGCATAATAGGAACATCCAGGAAGACGCTGTCAGAAGAAACAGCTGATCAGTCGTAAGTAAAACTTTGCTACGTCAGAGCTGATTCGGAAAAAAAAGTGCTTCCTTCTCCCATTTTGTGAACCAACCCTTTTTCGTAGCGTGCTTTGAAACTTCTTTTGTGAATGTTTAAATGTTTTTAGATAAATACATTTTTAAAAAATTTATAAATAACATTTTAGATAGTTTGTTTAAATTTTTATGTTTCTATCAAGCTTTTCTGATGCGATACTTCAAAATGCATATTAAAAAAGCTGATGGAAACGCACCTACAAGAACAGGAACAAACCAGATGTAGCTACTTTGACAAGAAAAAGCAGAGAGAGCATAAAGTTTTGTAAAACTTACAAATGTTGCACAATTGGAGAGTAGAGATGAAATGAAGCAGAATGATGAAAAGTGGTCCCTATGTCCTCCAGCAGTCTAAGCCTATAGCAGCATAAATATAGAAAATAGTTCAGGATAACTCACTATTTTGGATAAGGTAAGATAAAAGAGCAAAGGAGAAACAGTCAGTCAGGGTTGAATTCTCTCCACCGGATCGATCCATTCGCTCTACCTTCTCCGACTTCTCTACTCACCAAACGACTAAGCAAACACTCTGCTTTTAACTATAAGTTTGATCAAAAAGTAAAGTTGTAACATTAAAAGTAGACAGGGTGTCTGCCTCAGGAGGAGCCTGATAACTAAAATATCTGCCTCCCATTCTACTTTTAGAAATTCCTGGAACCATTAGTAAACCTGCAGATTGAGAGGGAAGTGCGCTGTTAGGGAAATAAAAATTTTAATTGAACTTTATTGAGCTCACACTGGAGAAATTCACTGCTGCATTTGACCCACCCCATTGCGGAGCAGTGGGCTGCCATTGCATGGCGCTCAGGGAACAGTGTGGAGTTCAGGGTCTTGCGCAGGGACCCAGAGTGGCATTCTGCAGGAGTGGGGCCTGATCTCAGAGCCTCTGGGAGCCAAGTGTAATGCCCTAACCACTGGGCCGCCACTCCCCTGCCACAATCAAATCCCTGTTTTAAGATGGGACTTGGTGATTTAGGGTTTTGTACCTGAGGCTTTGTACAGTGGAGCGCCAGGCAAGGACAGTTTACAACATGGGAGGGAGTTTTGAAAAGAAAACTTCCTTGGAGGCAGCTGTTGGGCATGGCAGCATTTCACACCAGCTTCCTTTTACCGGCTACATACAATGTCTTGCCTTCTTCTCATTTTAATCAATGGAATGGTGAATATCCCACATGCTCCTCTTGATAATATCCTGCAATCTTAAGATATATTCTGGTTGGCTGGAAGACAAGTCTGTCACAAGGCATTTGCATCTGGAGGCACAACCATGCCTTGAATTGCCTAGCAGCTGTATTGCAGTCAAGGCGAATTAAGATCATTGTCTTTCCTCCGCAATCAAGCCATCCTGGAACAGTGAGCGGAAGGGTGGAAAGCCAGCCAAAGGCTAGTAACATCAGATAGTGTATTGCTTAAAACAGTAAGAGATTGGAGAATGACAGCAGTCCTAAAACAGAGGCTCCTATCTGAGATCGCCAACACAAATCTCAGACCCAATATTATAATTTTTGTGTTAATCTCTCTATGATGCACACAGTGTTTAGAGTGTGCATCATAGAGCCGGCTCCTTGGGAGGATGCAGTGTAGAAACCTTTGACCACTCAAGAACCTTATATATACCAAGCTGACCACTGATGCCGGGCAACAAGGACAAAATGCCAGGGTTTGTCCTGTACAGGTTGGCTGCTGGGGCTTCGTAGGCAAGTCAAACATCTGGCTGCTCAAGGACTTGGAAATTAGAGGCCAAGCACACTATCAAACCATCAAAGACCTCTCAAGTACAGCAGAGGAGCCTAGTTAGACAAAAACACTCTAAATAAGGAAGTCAGTTAATCAAGTTAGAATCATGCAAGAACACAAAGCAAAGAAATAAAAAAAATTCTCTGTGATTTAGGCCTAATAGTAAAAGAAATTTTGTGATTGAGGCAGTGTAGATGGACACAAAAAATAAATGCAGCAAACTGATATTTGCCCCGTGATATTCATTTGTGTTGACTGAAAACATGTTAGTAGTTTCACTGTCTTTCTCTGAAACCAGTTAAGAGATTCTTGGCTGGGTTTAGAGAACCGTGGTGATACATAGAAATGCACATTCCTTGTGTTCTCAAGAATATCCTGGTATATTTTCTTCATTAATCTTTTGCTCAGTTATATGAATTCTTCCAGTACCCTATAAGACAAGCCAACCCATTTGGGTCCTATTTGCAAGCTTTACTTTCCAATCATGCTTTTGAGATAAAGGTCAGAAACATTCTGCCTCTAAACAGGCTCTGTGCAATGACACAGCGTCTAAGAGCTCAGAACAAATGGTCCACCATATCTCAGGGGAAGCCTTATGGGCCTTGCAGGGTCCCAGAAACATAGAAAGGTTTAGATATGCAGCAAAACCATTTGCCTTTGGCATTCTTTACATTAGTTGTTTATTAAGTTTTTGTCGTTTTCCTGTTAGCAAATAGACCCCTTTGTTCAAGACTTTGGAAATTACAAAACCTGTTAAGTGTCAAGGCTCAGAACAGAAGACCCAGTTTTCAAAGCAGACAGATTTCTCAAGAAGGTTTATTAAGTAAACAGATCTGCAATGAACAGCGGGGGCGTCTAAGGCAGGAACCTCCGCAGGAGAACACAGGCTGGTGACCACGTCTATCTGGCGTAGGATGATTATGTGTGAGTCACTAACCTGGTCTTAAAGTTCAGTCCGTGCCCAGAAGACAAGGTTGGTTCCAGCTGGTTGGTTACCGACAAGACACAGCGGAAATGTAGAAGTTACAACAAGTTTGACCCGGGACACATGAAAAGTAGGGTGAATTCTCATAGAAAGAGGAAGCTGGGAACGGATGGCCCCCAGGGTTCACCACTTTACCAATAGGAACGCCCCGATGAACCAAGGGGCCAGCTTCCTGCTTTCCACCCTCAAAGACAGGTCTTTGGTGAAGAGCCCAACGTTCTGGCCCTCCCAGTATTCAAGTGCCAGAACTCTCCGGGGTCTAGTAGCCTTGGTTTGACTATCTGAAGCACTGTAAATAGCTCTCCTTGAGGCTTGCTGGCACCTCAAAGCTGATAACTGGCCGACATAACTTTAGAATCCTTCTCCTGGATGGTGAACACCACTGGCTGAAACCCAAAGATAACTTAGAATAAAGAGAGTCCAGTGATGCTAGAAGGAGCAGAGCTAATGCCATGTGCGATCCAGTTAAGTTGACTGGACCACTTAATGGGAACTGACTCACACAAAACGCGTAGCTTAGTCTTCACCTCGTGGCCACATTGAGTAGCCTTGATTGGCCCTCTCTGTCTGACTGTCCCTCTTGGGGTGGAAACCTGATGACAGGCTGACAGAGATCCCAACATAGCGAATAATTCTCTCCAGAACCTGGAAACAAACTGAGAACCCCTGTCAAAGATCATGTCTGTTGGGAGACCAAGGAGGCAGAAGAAAGCTCCTTAGAGAAAAAGGCGCAGGGGTAAATCTTGACATCTTGGGCATTTTGACTTAGGACAACCCCGACTCCAGTACTGGAGGAATCCACCTCCACGATAATTGTCAACTTGGATCTAGGGAAACCAGAACAGGTGCAGAAGTGAAAAGATTCTTGAGTCTCTGAAAGGCTCAATAAGCCTCTTCGCTCCAACAGAACTTGATTTTAGCTGAGGCGAGAGCATGAAGGGACGCAGCAACCTGACTGTAGTTTCTGATAAAGCGTCTGTATAAATTAGCAAACCGCAAGAATCGCTAAACTTGCTTTCTATATTTCGGTACAGGCCAGTTGATAACTACGCTCACTTTAGTTGATCCATAGCAATCTGGTCAAGGGAAACCAAAAAACCAAAGAAATACATAAACTAGGATTGTTCTGCCATAGCTTTACCGACTAGAGGCAAGATAACATTGGCTACCTTGGACCTATCAGAAGGGTAAGCTGAAGGCTGAAGCTCGAAATGAATTTCACATTGATTGAGAAAAGCCCACCACTTATTGGGATCTCCCTTAAACAGCTCAGGGGATGAAAGATACGGCTTCTGACAGCAGGTGACATTGAAACGGAAGCTACCATAAGCAGGAGGGCGCGGGAGTAGTCTGATTTCGCAATTGTGTTAGGATTTCCTTCACATGATTCCAGCTGGGAAACTGAATTTGCTACACCAGAACACCACTGTCCGTCCACTGATTGATCCATATTTTAGCCAGATTATTCTGTCAAGGCTCAGAACAGAGGATCCAGTTTTCGAAGCAGTCAGATACATTTCTCAAAAACGTTTACGAAGTAAACGGATCTCCAGTGAACAGCGGGAAACCTAAGGCAGGATCCTCTGCAGAGGGAGAACACACGGTAGTGAGCACGTCTATCTGATGGAGGATAATAATGAAGTACGGGCCAGGAGATCAAACTAATCTGTGTTTAGTTTCATGCATATTATCTGTTAGACAATCTCCAACCAGATTTTTTGTTCAGATTTCCACATCCGTCGGCTGTTAAGTCAGCAGTAGGATGAGGGAAGGTGGACTGCACTCCCACTTCATAATGACTTTCTTTTTTCACTGTCTACAGTGTCATCCGCATCAGCAGGAGGGGCTGGCACACACTCCTCAACCTCTTCTTTCATACAGGACTGACATTTGGGGTATTTGCTGGAGGCATCAATCAGATTCACTTTCCTTTGGCTTGTCGGATTGTAAGTATGACTTATTCTGCTCCTTTATAAAGACAATATGTTAATAACACATATCCTGTTAATCAATGTAATTGTAGCCTTTTGTGGGCATTGTTTGGCAACTTTGAGCAAATGTTAAATTATCCTGAAATTAAAGCCGCTCTTAATCTGGAGGCATCATCTGTGAATCCAAACGAGACCTCGGAAGCCTCAGAGGTCACCTGGAAGAAAGCATTGAACAGGACCCAGATATCTAGGCAATGTACAGCATCCAGTGGCGGCCCCGTCCAGGAAACACACAGCCAGGCAGCTCTGAGCCAGCTCCCATGTGAGAGGATGAAGAGAGCACATCCAGTTAGTTACAGTCAGAGAAACAGGACTGCACTGGAAAACAGGCCAAGCTCCAACATCTATAAACAAAGGTGTTGATGGCAGCAGCACAGCTGACATTTCTGTCCAGGATGAAGTCACAGCCAAACAGGAACAGACCAGTTAAGGTCTGCCTTCACCCCTGGCAACCCTGTAGCATCCCCCGTGAAGATCTTGCTATTGAGACTTCCCAATAAAAGCATAGAGGAAAAGCTAATATTATAGACTGCTGCTAAATTGTTTTCTATGCACCACTTTTGAATCTGCTTGGGAAAAGCATCACTTTTGGAAAACCCCAAAAGCAAAGAAAAAGTAGACCACTTTGATTCATCTAGAGGCTTCGGTGGTACATCCATGTATCTAGCAAAAAAGAAAGCAGCAGTGCTGAACAGAACTTCCAGGGCTAAATCAAAACGTCTTTTTTCAAAAGTCACCTGCAAACTTTCATCCTTCCTCATTTAATCCTTTTTCAACCTTATTTCCTCTATATTTCATTCTGACTGAAAAAACTTTGATTTGGCTTCACTTCTTCAACCTACATCACAACCACAACCGTTCCCATATTGGTTGCAACAACACGATTTTACCAAAGAGCTCAGAATTTTTCACTTCAGCAATCACTGCTTCTTTCTCTCTGTGCGATGCCGCTGTTTGACAACACCTCACTTCTGGCAAGCAGCAAGCAGTGAGAGTGGTGTGCTGATCACTCTCACTGTGTAGAATTCACCATTGGCTGTTTCACATCTCTTGTCCATGTGGTTTTCACATGGATGCTATGGAAACCCCCCACCCTTGCAGCAGACACCTAGCCTCGTGAGACCATCCTGATCTCGCGAGCTTTCAAGGTTTCACTCTCAGATCAGTCTGGAGACTCTTCGTTAAAGAAAATTTGGAGCTGTTCACCAAACGAACGTCCAATCAGCGTTGGCTTTGAGGCGGGTTGAGGTTCGACACAACGAGAAGCGCGACAGTTCAGTCTAAAGAACATGGCGGCTTCAGCCGATGAAACTAGCATTAGCGTGGCTATCGAGCAAGTTTTATCGGAATTACAGAGTATTTCTTCACTGAAAGAAGAGCAAAACACTGCTCTGGAGGCTTTTCTCAGAGGAAAAGATGTTTTTGCTCTTCTCCCGACTGGTTTCTGCAAGAGTAGCCTGGCTTGTGGTTGTGTTTTCGTCGTCGCTCTGTTTGTACGTCATATGCTTCGTTGATCTGATTGGTTTATTTCGCCCGTCTATCACCAACATAGGCCAATCAGCTAACCAGTATTTTCGCCCCTTCCCAAAATTACTTCAACAGGTTTCCAGACAGATATGCGGAGCAAATCCGTCTGGCGGAGTGTGGTTAGCAGACACCGCGATCAATGTAAAAGCACTTTGAAGCCTAACTGTTAGAGCAAATTCTTTTTTTTTATTAAGCTTAGTTCTTTTTGTGTTATAGTATATAACACAGTATATATAGAATATAGAGGCTTACTAATAAGTCGGGATACCGTGAACCAACTGATAAACTCCTCATTCACAACAACACATTAAAATTTAAAGATATTGTTTATATAAAAATAAGGCAAATAATGTATAAGGCAGTGAACAAAAGTCTTCCTTCTGGTATTCAGGATTATTTAAGTTAAGAGAGAATAAATATAATATGCAGGTCGCTGGCAAACCGTTTCCAAGAGTTTACAACTAACTACTCAGAACAAATGATAATTACACCGGTAAGATGTTTACCACTACACACATGTTAGCATTGTTGGAAAGCTTAGATTTTCAACAATTCAACCACCAAGTTAATTTTATGGACACAGCGAGCACCAAAGCACAATTAACACAGATATAGCAGCATGTCAAAATCTAAACATGACAAATCAGCCACAACTACATCGCTTTGAAGGCGTCCAGAAGCCGTTTTATAAATCCAATCTTCAATTGTTTATTTTTCATTTGTCCATAAGGGGGCACAGATTAAAAGTAATCCAGAATATTTGTAATAAAAATATTCCATGATGAGTAAATTGCCACATCACGTCCTGTTGTTGACGTCAGAAAAATTAGCTGGCCATAGCTAATGCTTAGCATCTTGCTAATATTTACTTCCTAATTCTTACTCAGTTGTTAGCCCACGATGTTTGATATGGTTCTTTACATCGTCTTCTTGCCTTCAAGACAAAAGTGTCTGCATCTTTTTATGATGCGATTTGAGTCAGGGATAGTCGCATAATATTTTCAAGATAAAAAAAACTTTGAGTCCTGTTAAAACTGCTGCAGCTTGGGCTGTGTTTTACTCACCCACTTTTGGTATTTTCAGAAACTAAAAGGTGTTAGCTTTCAAATAATGTACCACACATGTCATTTGGGCTTACAGATCCTCAGAGAAGAGCTAGATAATGTCTGGATGTGTTTCAGTTATTAGTGTGAAACTGGAATGAACTGAATTATGATTTTAAGTTGTGTCCTTTCTTGGTGAATTTCAAAAGAGCTTTAAACTGTAAAATGATAAAATCCTATGTTGATATGTAGATTTGAATATTTAAATACGTACTGTTTAGATCCTGTTAGGTTGTAAAGGTTTTAAGTATAAAACAGGGTAGGCAAGAATAAACTTTGCTTCAGCCTATTCCTTTTTTTTTTGCAAATTGTGGGTTTGTTTGTTTGTTTTTTTTTTTTTTTTTACTGTTTCATGTGTTAAATGTTGGATAATTTACAGAATCTATTGAACTGATGTTTCTAACTCTAAGTTTATCCTTGTTTGATGTGATAGATTGGGATTTTACTCCATTATGCTTCATTATCAACAATGCTGTGGCTGGCATTAACTGCTAGGAACATTTGTAAAGATGTATGCAAAGATCCACTTCGAGCCCAGGAAAGGAGTGGTCCAGTCAAGAAACGCTCCAAACTTACTGTCCTGAGGTAAAGTTTTACTGTATTTGCAAGAACTAAAGACTTGAAAGAATGTTGATTACTTGTGTAAAGTTAATTTTGTCTTATACTTAGCCAGCAGTGGGCTTCGCTAATTAAAAAAGTCAGCACTCACCTATGTTTTGCTTATTATATTCAAGTGAAATGTGCAAGGCTACTTGATTTGTAACGTTTTGGCTAAAGTATTGAAAAATAGCGAAGCAATACGGTGTTTTCCATTGAGTGCAACATTACATAAGTAATTATCATTAACTAATTTAAAGCAAAGGACTACTTTCATTATTTTTGCTCATAAAACCCTAAGATGACCGTGGCTCAGGGTGACCAGATCACACAAAATTGATTTCCACGTAAATCTGGACGTCATCAGCACAACAATGAAAAGAAAGATTATGGTTCCTGAAAATTGACCCCGATGGTAAGATATACAGGAGAAAACGAATCGGTCCAAGAATGGAACCCCAGAACTGAGAGGGGCTAATTATGAGGTGAATTCACCAAGCAGAAAAGCTCCGATAAGTCAAATAAGACTGGAACCATAAGAGAGCAGATCCTGTAATGCCCACCCCTTGCTCATGTCGCATTGTCAAAGGCAGCTGTAAGATCAAGGAGCATTAGCATAGCAGGATTTCCTGAGTCAATAGTCACCATTAAATAATTAAAAACTTTTAACAGTGCTGTCTCAGTGCTATGAAACGGTTTGAAGCCAGATTGGAACTTCTCATATATATCACTGGTGACTAAGAATCAATCTGGATAAAAAACAACTTTTCAAAAATTTTAGATAAAAATTTAGAGATCTAGATTTTTCTTTTTGATCAGATGTTGTACAACTATATGTTTAAGAGCAGTTGGGACACATCTGGTAATGAGACAGGAATTAACAAATAAAAGTATAACAGAGCCCACCGTAGAAAATCCCTCTTTAAAAAGACGAGAGGCGATGCTGTCTGAGGGACAGTTTGTAGGTCGGAGTTGCTGAACTACACTGGCCAGTGAGGAGAGAAATACAGGTTCAAACTGATCAAAAATAACATTTAGAGGAGGAATGGTGAGGTCAAGGTTAGGGCCTACGGAAGAGAACCAAGCTGGTCTTAGAGCAGACACTTTATCAATAAAATGTTTTTTTAAACTCTTGCAAAGGGTAAGAGATGGTACAACTGGAAAGTTATCACAAGGATTTACAAGAGAGTTAAAATGTTAAAAAGGACTTGGGCTTGTGACTATTACAAGAGACAAGATTGGAAAAATATTCTATTTTTGCAGCTCTAACAGCATTCTGATAAATGGTGTCATGATTGGTTTTACGAATCTGACCCACATGCAGAGATACCACTCAGAGAACACAGGAAAAGTTTAACAGGTTTATTGAGGTAAGAGGACAGGGGTTGGATCTGGAACTTAGTGAGCTGGTGAACCAGAACTGGAAGTGAGAAGGGAAGTTCAGAGGTCAGTTCAGGTACAGTGGGAGTCTTGGAGGTTGTTAGATAATGCTGGTGAGGGACTCGTGTTTGAGGGGGGGGGTTGTCAGTCCTTGAATCGTTAAAGTGACAAGGAGACACGAGACAATCCCCCCCTTTAACGACCGACCTTTAGAATCATAGACAGGTTTAAGATATTACAGGCTAACAATGGAACCAAACGACCCACTCATCGGTTTCCATTTGCATATTTCCAAGCAATACAAGGCCTTGTCTATATAAAGACTCAAACTCACTGCGAATCCAGACATTTGAATTGAGAAAGCTTCCTGGAGAGGTAGCAAAACGTCTTCAAATCTTGGAAACCAAGTCCAGTGGATTTTTTTTTACTTTTACGGAATGACACATAGGCTTCCATGACTTATAAATCATCTCCTGCTGTAGTGGTATTGAAGGATGTAATCAGTTTTGACACTACACAAATCATCTCATTATCACGAAAAACCTGCTTTGATACCTTTAGATAATGATAAAGTTAACTTGTTTTCTTGAGAAAACCACTGTGAAAAAGTATCGGAGGGACACAACTGCCCTGGGCTTCCATAGTCAACTTCTCCGGAGTCCTCTTAATAATTACACAACTCAAGTTTTATAACATGGAAACAATTTAGAGGTTGCAGGAAACTAGCCCCCAGGAGAAGCTATGGCTCAACTTGGGTGTAAGGTATTTAACTTCATTTAGTAACCTTTTAATTTTTTTGGCAGATATTATCTTGTGAGTGATGGAGTACCTTTGATAGTTGTAGCCATTACCGCTGGCTTTGGCATAGATAACTACGGCAGCAGGGACGGAGCCTTGTAGTAAGTATGGATTCAGTGTATACTTCATTGATTATTTAATATTTGTAAGATAGAAATAAGTCTGATATTCCTGTCTATTATTTTCAGTTGCTGGATGGCATGGGAACCTAGTCTGGGAGGCTTTTATGCCCCAGTGGGTCTTCTGGTCTTAGTCATGTTCACATACTTTTTGATTACCTACATCCAGCTAAAGCGCCACCCGGAGAGGAAGTATGAATTGTGCCTTCTAAATGAGGATCAGCAGATGTTGTCATCCGGTGAGTCAAACCATCATTGTCAGGGTGGCGGTGGTGGAGCTTCGGGATCCAGTGGAGACTGCCTTCCATTTTCTACTGGAGTATCTGTGCTTGCCAACGAACACTCTTTTAAATCGCAACTCAGAGCCACCTTCTTCACACTGTTTCTGTTCCTGGCAACGTGGACTTTAGGGGCATTGGCTGTATCACAGGGATATTTCCTGGATATGATATTCAGCTGCCTTTATGGGGCCTTTTGTGTCACTCTGGGCCTGTTCCTTCTTATCCAGCACTGCGCCAAACGGGATGATGTGTGGAATCGTTGGTGGGTGTGTTGCCATTCCAAAACCAAGATAGAGGATGGAAATACTGATGGCCAAAGTCAGAGCCAGCAGCCGCACTGCCATCTCAGCTCTCCGTGTTCAGGCAAGCAGCTGCTGCTTTCTTCGCATCTTTTGCAGAGTTCCTTCGACAAAATGACGCCACCTCCTCATAGCCCAAGTCCAAGTAACACAGGTCCATGTTGTGTGGCTGTAATGAGTCCAGCATCCCCTATTCCATCCCTTATTGAACCATTATCCTCACCACGTCCACATTCACTACCTGATGATCTCCCACGTCCAACTCTTCCCCTGCAGAGATGCCTTACTGAAAGAGCAAAGTCACGCTCTTTTAACCGTCCACGCCCTTGCCTACAGGACTACCGCTCACATATGACTTCCCTAAGTATGGATGGAAGTGTGCATTCTTCCCACAGGGACAGCCCTCTGCCTTCACATCATCTGGAAGGAACATCATTGGGTTCCAATAGCCCGCTTCCAGATCTTCAGCTTCCTTGTCCTAGCCCAAACTTGGATAAGCAGATCACTTCCTGCCACACCTTACAACGCCAAACCTCCTGCCAGAGTGCACAGGACTCAGTGACTTCCTGCCATGGGCATGTTCACAACATGTACGATAGTATAAATTCCTGTCACAGCCTTCTCCTGCCTTCTCAAGGGCTCCATTCCTGCCAGTGGCATAAGTATGGTTCAGTGAATCCCTCTTGTAATGCAGCCTGTTGTGAATCTGATCCCTTTACATCACAATGTGAAAAAGACCCCCAAACCTACTGTGGCACATCAAAGACAGAGGATCTTGACACGGAGCAAAGAGGCTTCCCAAGAAACACCCTGCCTCGACAGCATTCCACCATTGGCCGGCGAGGAGTCATTGGTCGAAACAGGAGTCTGCAAGAAGATGGCCTCTTTGGTTCCGATGCTACAGGAAATATACGGACTGGCCCTTGGAAGAACGAAACCACAGTTTAGCAGTAAAGTCTGCTAACACTGTCTTTGTTGAGTATGATTTGGGTTTGCTGGTGAAGATTCTCAGTCATCCAGGTCATAGTCATTTCAAAAAAGTTAAAAAACAATCCACTGGACAAAAATAAGGTTTTGTAAAGCCTTGAACTTAACGCTATTTCTGCAATTTTGAATTTAAAAAGCTTCCTGGGTGGGAAGCTACATGTCTTCAAACTTAGAAAACAAAGTCCAGTGGATTGTTTTTTTTTTTAACTTTTTTGGTATGATTTGGGTTGTTATTGCTGTCAGTGGAACCCTTAAACAACCTTAACGAGTCTTCAAATCGCTTCAGGACTAACTTAAACTTGTCAAATATACTTTTTTCTTAGTAATATCTGATGAAGAAACAATTGCACCTAGAGTTGAGTCCACATTATGCTTTAAAGCAGCAATCAATACTGTATGAATGCTCAGGGGGAAGGTGGCTCATTTGGAGGGGTCCTCAGTTGGAACCATAGGAGTTCCACTTAGATGTCTTCTGTGTTCTTGGTTTTTTGTTGTTTGTTTTATTGCGGCATTTTAGACACCTCATGAGGCAGTTGGTTTGCCTACGGGTGTCGGGCAGTTTGGCTCTTCGAAAAGGATATAAGATATAAAGATACAAAATAGTATCTCAATAATAAGATTGATTTTATCAAAAAAAAAAATCTGGCATCAAAGATGGCAGGCCATATTGCTGTAATAGGGATACTGTTTGTATGACTATCCACTATTTGGAATTTGTATGTCATGTTCTTATTAGCTTGTATAAGTTCTGTTAGTTTAATGTCACCATCTTAATTACATGTAGCAACAATATAACACCAGCACTGACAGATTTGAAACTTTGCATATTAACAGAAACCTAGAGAGTCCACTGCCCTTCATTTTCTACAAAATAAGTTCCTCACTAAGGGAATCTTTAATATAAGTTTATTTGCAAACAGAAAAGCTTCCAACATCTTTAAATATCACCCCAAACCAGATTGGTAATTATCCTTTTTTACCTTGTCTGGATCCATGATCTCTTGATGTCTTTTTGTGGGTGTAAACAAAAAGGGGTTTTTAAAGGAGTCACCACTTGAAATCTCACTTTCTCCATGTTAAAATGTGTGTGTTGGTGTTTGGCTTTAGGTAAGACCTGCTTAAAGGAAAAGTCCGGTCATAGTCAGAATTCAAACTTCTGGACTTTGAATATGAAATTATTACATACTTTTCAACAAATGATCAGTGTTTTTAATTAAAAACACTACTGCCACCTACTGGTTTGTGACGTCAAGGTGCGGTATCGGCTGTTGATCAAGTCCCAGTGCTGTATCTGGTGTTTGTCACAATGCGCTATTATCCAAGCCATCTTGAAAACATTCTTCTTCCAAATGTTGGCTACATATTACGTGTTTTTTCTCTGGCCAGAAGTTCGATGGCAAATCCTCCCTCTTCAAGTTGGCAATCCAACTACGAACCCGTCCGTGTAGGATCAGGAATCAGAAAGGTGGAATAACCCTTTTTTTTCACTTTTACCCGATGTGTTTCAGCATCCAGCTGCCATGCACGTGGGCATTTTCAGTTTCACTATAGCTGTGGTGAATTTCAATGGTGAAGTCCTCTGGAAATCTTCAATAATTGTTGCTGATTGCAGATGTGTCTAGTAGTTCCCATTGATTTTGCTTGTAAAGCGGGGAGAATGACGCTAGGCTTACCGCACCATGACGTCACTGCCGGAAGATGGCAGGAGGGAGGGGTTACTATATTTGAGCAAAAATGGCTGCTCCCAGACTCTGTGATCGTGACGAAAATTATTGCTTTTTTTTTTTTTACATTTTTTTTATTGATTAACACTAAATTCATCAAATCACAGCAAACGTATTAGTTTTAGGTATAAATAATGATCCATTGATTATTCCTTACTGACCGGACTTTTCCTTTAAAGTGGATTTATTTTTTTTGGACTCATTGGACATCACATCAGAAAAGGCCCCATAAAGGCTCAATCTTTGGTCCTCCTCCCTGAATTACATCATTAATCGAAGGGTGTTATCTTTAGCAAAACTTGCTAACACCACACCGTTCTCTATAAGACAGGCTCTATTTTTTTTCTTTTTAAAAATAATTAAATATTTTAAATAGAAATTAAAAAGGATCATCTATGTAAATCAATAGTTTATGACTCCTTAATTAAATGATTTGTTTTTTCAAAACTCTTGAAGGGAGAAAAATAAAACGTTTATTAGATGTTTAATTAAACGCATCTTATTACCTATATATTATTTAGTCTATAATATTGATGATAACATGAAATGTCTAATGCTGTTTTCACACCAAAGGCGTTATAGTCATAAAAAATACGTCAAAGTAGGAATCTGGACGCTGGATCAAACTGTGGTCCAGCTAGTCGTCGCTCTGGTTGTTTATCTGCTCTGTTCTGTAGCTTCCAGCTACAGAGCAGCTTGGCTTTATTTACTTTATGTGCTGGAAAATAGTTTTAATACGGTTTAAGCGACAAAGTCCACCTCCAAACATCCTCTGATCATCAGGATTATAATCCCACTATAATCTTCATTTCTTGTTTGGAGCATCAGACCTCCAGCATACCGCCGGAAAGCAGAGCTGGAAATCCCCGCTGAAAGCTTTCTGCTGTGGACAGCCTGTGGGGGATTTCCTGCTGCCGTTCGTAGCGGCTGGAAGTGAATAGAAAAAGTTGTTAATGTCATGATTGGTTTATTGAACGAAAACCCACATGCAGAACACTAACGGAGACAGAGGAAAGTTTAACAATGTTTATTTGGGAAACACACACAGAGTTAATCAGGGACTGGTTACTCTTATATCTGGAGAGATGAGAGTTTGGTTAGCCAGGTGGTTAAGGCTTGACGAGTGAGTTGAATTCTGATCGTACCTTGAAGAGGTTCTAACAGATCCTTTGAGAGGGGGAACCGGTTGGGTCCAGAGACTGTGGAAGTAGCAGAGAGCTCAGCAGCAGCAGCGTCTAGCTTCTAGCCAGAGAGTTTTCGGACTTGGGTTTGTTTCCTAGCTCTTCCCAGAGAACTGACGGAGGAATCCAGACTGAGATCTTCAGGTTTGGCTTACGTGGGCAGGCAGGCAGATTTCCAGGTTATGCTCATCCAAAGCTTCAGACTTCAGTCGGATTTCTGCGAGCAAAGAAGACAAGAACAAGTTAGAAGGCTAGTTTCTCTCAAGAGGCAACTAGTATTCACTAGGATTTCAGAGGCTCAGGTTCGCTAATCAAACTAGGTCAACACTGCGGCGTCGAAGGAAGGTCTGACTGCTGCTTATGTAGGGAGGTCTTCTGATGAGCTGATGATCCCCAGGTGTGCTGAGGACTCCAGCTCAGGAAGCCCACAGTGCTCTCTGCTGGAGACAGGTGGCAGATCTCCAGATCCCGACAGTTAAGAGTTTTGTGCGAAACACTTACGACTGAGTATTAGGTTAGAGATTAGCCACGTTAGAGATTAGCCAGGTTAGAGATTTTTTTATTTCAAGAATAAAGTCATAACATTACGAGAAAAAAGTTGTAACATTATGAGAATATGTTGTAATATCATTAAAGATTTCCTTATTTGTCAAACCGATGCCAAAGTATAACTTCACATGATGCTCCACATTCCTCATTCTAGGGAAGACAGTGCTTCTTGGAAGTGTTGTTATAAAATACAACTTTATTCTCGTAATTTAAGAAATTTATTCTCTTAATATTTCGACTTTATTCTCTTAATTCTATAATTATTCTCGTGACTTTTTTCTTGTAATATTATGATTTTATTCTCATAGTTTTACAACATTATTCTAGTAATTTTATGACTTTATTCTCGTAATAGAAGAAAAAAAAATCTCTAGCCTGGTCCAAGTACTCCATCGTATGCAAGAACCAGAATATACAATCGAATATTTTCCATCAACAGGTTTTCTCAACATTTCTAGTTAATTTGGGTATTTATAAACTGTTTCTCCACAGTTCAAAAAAATGTTTTAGTGCAGCAATAATGATCAGAGCTGCTCTCTGTTCCTTCTACATAACAATCAATTCTTGCAACTTTATTCTAACCTTTGGAGTTTAACTCCTTGATATTTAGTTATTTTTCCATCTGCAGAATGTCTGCAGAAGCGATGACAGCTTGCAGGTAGAGTCTGTCTCCCCATAAAAACTCCTGGATCAACTTTTCTGATTGGCTGACGCTCCAGCATCCAGAGTCGAATTTTCTGACTTCCAGCTCCTCACGTCATCCTCCTTTAAACATTGCATGTAAACCAGCTGCTTTGAGGTCCAGAACGCGCCCGTTGTGAACGCAGCATAAAACTTTCAGAGATTTTCAGATGCCATTTAAAGATGCCCAGTCACATACTTATCACATACCAAAAGCACACAAAAATCATGTTTATGTTAAAATCAAACTGTATTTAAATGTAATAAATTTACAGCATTGCTGCTGTAGTTGGAGCACAATTTTGAGTTTTATCTAATGACGGATTCACAGCAATTAGCCTCAAGGTGCTTTGCTAACATTACCTGCGACAGCCAGGAGGAAAATAATATCTCAACAGATGGGATTTCCTGAAAACAACCAATCAAAGGCAGTTTATTTTGGCCATTGTTTATTTCGCTCAAAGGTCATAACCGCTGTAAAAGCACACAGAGACAGATCCACATGCAAGTGGGAGAAAAGCTAGGGGGAAATGAAAATCTGGCCATAAGCGCAGATTAGGTGCAAGCACTCATGCTTTTTACATATTGGGGTCTCATGGTATCGATTCTGCACATGTAAGACTTTCAAAATGTCAGGCACTCAAAATTCTGGACCCAGAATTCAAGCAAAAATCACAGGGACATATCAAGACAAGCATTGTTAAAAAAAATCAGTGCTCATGCTCAACAGCGGGGGGGGGGGAGGTTAACTGGATCCTCTGTAGAAATAGAAACTCTGGTTAGTGGCTTTGAAAGGTCAAACAGGCCACGACTAAGAGCATGTAAGTCACTAACCTGCTTCTGAGTTCAGTCTTGAGTAGAATCCAGATGGGTGGTTCCTCCACAGCTCCATAACCAGAGTTCTGAGTGAAGAGCTGAGCAGGGTGATGAGAAG